CCCCAAAACCCCAAAACCCCGTCATTATTTATGAAAATTAAACGAAATAATTTCTGGAGCAAATAGTAGTGATGATGAAATCAAAATTTTTAAAGATTAAATCAAAGGTATTTGTCTCAATTTAAAAGATTTACCCACTATCTTAATATATTGGCTTAGAAGGCTTTAATCATATGAATTCTTGATCTTTTACTTCTAAATCATTTTCTTCAATATTTTTTGTATCTTCTTGGTGTTAGCCTTAAAGTAAAGCTTCTATCTCTTCAGGAGGAATTGGATTTGTATCTGAAGAAATTTTTAAAACTGGGTCTGGCTTATATTCATCTTTAGACTGATTAAGTTCATTTTCAATTTCTTGAGCTAAAATTTAGACGCTATCCTTAATTGTATTCGTAATTTGTCTATAAATAAGATTAAATTGGATAAGATTATGGCTTTACTTAGCAGTTTCAATCAAGCAAGGATACATATCATCGACAACATCAGCCAAGAGATTATAAGACTTTTTGTGTTAGCTATTAAAAAGGAATATTTCTCCATCATCATTGACTATGAATATTTTATCTAGTGATACACCAACAGCTCTATATGAAATAGCATCAGTATCACGATTCCCAAAACCACCAACAAATGGATGACTATCTTCAGGGAATAGATTATAGATATTTTTTAATGCTGCTATTTTGAACATCTATTAAAATCATAATCTAATTGAGTAATAGTAATTACCTAGGGTTTCTTTTATATAATCTCTCTGTTCATTGATTTCACCATTCTATCAGGACTCATAATGACAGGGCCTTCAGGCATCCCAAATTTTTCGTCTTACTTTATTCCTTTCAAATACTCTCTAGTAAAATCTATTTAGAATTATATATTAAATGAAAGATACCAGCAAGCCCAATCGGTCTAGACGAAAGATATAAAATCTTATAGCCATTCTTTTCAATACCAGTGTATAACTTTGCGATTCCTTAGTGAGTCCAATCCTTGCCAAAGCGTGGGAGTACATGTCCTAGCATATCGCTTTTAGTGATAGTTCCATCTACGTCTGAGATTACTATTTTATCTCTGCAATCCCAAACAAATATTCTACTCTAGAGCTACTGCTTTCCAAGAAGTGAAGTGGTGACTGTAAATACTATGTCATTGACTCCCTCATGAAGTTCCATACTCTACAGTTATTCAGAAGTTGGGATTAAACTCTTCTTATAGTAAATTTTAGTCTTTTTATTTGAAGCAGTTTAAATTGGAGAGTCGTCTTAAAAGTTCTTTTTCGGTAGGTCATTTGAGTTTGTAATAACATGATGCTCAGGTTGAGACACTTGGTTATTAGAGGAATAATTTTCATTCTAATCTTCAGTTATTTCTTAAGATTCATATTAAGATGATTTCAGCACAACTAAAGGTTCTCCAATGATTTCATTTGAAAGAGGTTATTTGAATGCAAGCATAGAAATAATGAATGGAGCTGCAGTCGCCCAATTAAAGTACTGATCTTCGATTCTAATTACTAGTCTAGAATCCATTAGCAAAAGATGAGGACTTGCACAAAATTGATCATAATTAATCTTATTCTCTTCAAATGCTTGAATTATTTCCTCATCAGATTTTTATTAACCCCCTATTGGCATAATCATATGAGCGCATAAAGAAAGATTAATCTCAGTTGCTTCATCTTCATCCTCATTGGTTAAGTTATTTTGAGAATTGCCTTAATTATTTGAATTCTGATTGCTCTGTGAAGCTGTATCTATTAGTATCGTATTTTCAGAGGGAGATTTCTTGAAATACCCAAACATTCTTCGAAGGAAACCTTTCTTTTCTGTTTCAGTCTATTATTCATGTTATGAGCTTTCAACTATTTTTTATCCATTATTACTGATTGGTTGAACTTTATTTTTTTCTAGATCATTTTTCGTCAGATCTGGTTTGATCTAGCCTTCGATAGTCTATTTTTCAGATAACTGCTAACTCTGTTCTAGTCTTTAAGGAGACTTATCTTATTCGAGCTAAGCCTATGGACTCTTTTCTACCTTAATCTCCTTAATTTTATTTGACGAATTCATGTTCCTAAAAGTATTAATATATTTTAAATGTAGTTACTATTCAGGTTATTCTCCCCAAAGCCATCTCCATCTACTGATTCTTTCCTCTTTTTTGTCATTATTATTTTTGCTTGAAGCTATCTCTTTTTCAATTTCTTGCTTGAATTATTCCTCTATAGATCTTCTAATTGCTTTTGGTGATTATTATAGTAGTCTTAGATCTATTTTCTCCTCTTCATCATCTTCAATCATCGTCTACTGGGTGCTTGCTGCACTTTTATTATCTAATGAGACTTCATTTTTAGGATCATTTGTGAGTGTGCTATCCTATTGGCTATCTTATATCTTTTGTAGATCATTCACCACGGCTATCGTAAAAGTTAAGCCTTTTTATTGAATTTATATTGATACCTTAAATATCAGTGGCATCAATGTTCTATTTTTCTTCAGTCTCATCACTTGAGGAATAATTTCTTGGTGATACCTCTCCTGAACTCATAAGTGGACTAGCTCGGTACTCATTATCAAAAACTTCCTCCTATAGATCAATCAACACTATCTTAACAAATTTAATGATAATTACAGCTGTCTCATGAACAAAGAATCCTTCACCTGCTGAGCCTAACTTCATAATAAGATCAACATCTTTGCCGTTCACTTATACGCTTAACTAATGATATGGGTGGTCATTAAGAGGAAAAATATATATATTCTTACAATCTTATCACTAGATTTTAAAACTTTTAGTTTACCGAATCTCAAATGAAACGGTGAACTTGCCAATGTTCCATCAGCTTGCTTGATGACAATAATATCAATACACCCACTTAAAGTTGCCTGAGATTTTGATTAGTTAATATCCGAATTTTACTGTATTTATGGTGAAAATTTCAGAGAGTAAGTTCAACATTTATCAAAGCCTCTGTGATTAATAATAATAAATTATTACAAATCAAAAATATTCTTTGTGCAATATCCTAAATAATCTCGATTTAAACCTCTAGGGGTTTTGGGGTTTTGGGGAGATCGGAAGAGCGTCGTG